CATGGCCACCCATAAGCTGCAAAAAGCCTTTGAGAATGTACGTCAAAAAAAGTACAGCAAGGATTTTGGATGCATTTCATGTAATCTGATTTTAGTGTATAAAAACAGCCGATTCAGCCTTTCTAATGATATTTTTGATTTTTCTTGTTTGTCTCAGCAATGTTTCTCCTGCACCAATAGGAACTGCTTTTTTTAAAGATTTTTCAATGATAGCAGAATGAAGTCTAAATGTTACCAGATTACTGAAAAATTAATGAATAAAATATTCTTTCCTGTGAAATACTGAGTGTTATAACGCTCCAGATTCCTTAATTGTATAACAAAACCTTGTTGTAATAATTAATGGTTGTTTTCTAACCAAAACTGCCATTTTGTAGCTCTCTGGTGATACATCTTCATTCCTTTATATGTTGTTTAAAAGAGCCCTGCCCTTCTCATTAGAACAACCATACTAACAAATAATGTCTTCCCCAAGCAACGTCATGGTTAAAAGACTTTGTTACAAGCAGAACAAGCACCAAGCAGCTCTAATTGTTAAGTTTTTGAAAAAACAATCTTTGTTTTTTCTCAGGCTTAGTGCCAGCACATACCAGCCAAAGTTTATGAGTTTTACTTGGTTAATCCTTCACGCAGCCTTTCCTCCCCAACACAGTAAAGCTAAGCAGGTCATTTTATCAGTAACGTATTCTAACCGGATCTGACTGTAGACCACAAGTCTTAGTAAATCACTGACCGGAAACAGAGAGAAAACCAGCACTTCCTTGTCTTCGTAGCTCTCTATTTTTTTAAAAACACAATTTAGCCCAAAATAAAAAATAAAAAAAACGTTTTGCAAATATACAACTCACGGGAGGAATCACCTCTGTGGTGAAATGTGCTCTGCACTCTTTAATTTAATTATATTTTATTAAGATTTAATGTGATAGAACAATGCAAAGTAGCAAACAACTGTACGGTGTAAGAAACAAGATAAGAGATTTTCTCAATTTTTCAGAAATATCCCAAGAAATGTAGCATGTTATTATATTTAGCTCCCTTAACACTGATGATTAAAATAACACGTGCTGCTAACAAGCGCAACCCTGAAGCTCTGCTGCCGTCCCAGATGTTTGCAGCCTCTAATCTAGTCCCGTCATCGCTTTCGGACTTAATCTGTCCAGCAGCATGATGCCGCTACCATAAAGATGTTTCGCAACACCGTTGTGCTCAATGTTTGGTTTTCTACCTCAGGTGGCCTTTGCATGTTGGTCAGAAACCTTTGATTTTGTTATTGTCTAACCTTCCTCTACATATACGCTCCGTCTCCTATGTGATTTGTTTTGCAAGCTGCAATTCGAGATTATTTTTGACTTTCTTTCAGCAGTTGTTTTATTTCTGACAGTTCATGCGGATTCTTCTACCTGAGCTTCATTATATAAACCCTCCATATAACATGTAGTTTGTCCAACTTTGCTGCAGTGACAAAAAGGTGAAAAATAGCTTTATAAGGATCTGTATGTCTGGTAGGCCTTTCTTCAAACCAACATTCCTACAGGTCGACTTAAAACTGCCGCGGCGGACCATCACCTTGATGTAATTCATCATCTGCAGATTGAAGGCGTCTTTGGAGCTCTCCAGGATCAGAGTGCAGCCCATGTTGGACGTGGTGTTGTGGAGGTCGAAGATCACGTCGTAGGCTTCGGCGCTTCCTTTGGGGCCGAACATCCTATTGATCTCCTGGGCCCTCTGCACCTCGTAGGGCAGCTCGTCGCCTCCTGTTGCGCTGGACGACAAAACGGTGTCAAATGTTGAGACTTCAGAGGCAGAAACAGCAACAGGTTTGACGCATAATTTGTTTAAAAAAAAAAAAAAAAAAGATGTCTGTGGTGGTTTGAGTGTACCATTCTCATGGTCTTGTGTGTTCGGACCACAGAATCTGAGAGTTTGTTTTGAGGTTAAACTCCCACCAAACATGCTTCTTTCTCTCTCAACTTCAATCCGCTCGTTCTACTGCATTTCAAAAACAACCACTGGTCTGGAGAACTCTCTCTCTAAACCACAGGAGTTTTTTTTTTTTCCAAGAAAAAGAGCCTTTGCAGTCCACATTCTCTCACCCACATCGCATATGGCCGTAGGATGCCGTTTTCTCCAAATATCAGCACGCTGTGGAGAAATGTGGACTCCAGCACGTATGGGTTCACAGCTGAGAGACGTGCTGAGTTTGAGGAAAAGTAGAGCTGTCAGAGAATTTTTTTAATGAGCTGTTTTTAGAAGAGCTTCAAAGAGATTCATCTCCTTGAGAGAGGACAAACAGGATGGCAGCTGCACAGTTTTAAAATTAACCAATGTATCTCTCAGATAATTTGAGGATAAATGACCTTTATAGGAAAAACCATTGAAGATCCACGGGTGTGTCCAAAGTTTCCCTGGAATGTTTAAGCCTGAAATGTGTACCAAAGGTTAGTGGCCAGGGTAAACACGGTGCTGTGAATAAGTATTTAACCCCCATTGCAGACTTCTCCTGGTTTTGCTCATTGAAATGTTTCAGATCAGACAAATGTCAACGTCAGATAAGAGACAATAAAAACATGAACAACAACAAAAGCGCATTTTCAAATGATGATTTTGTTAAGGAAACAAAGTCATCCAATCCAATCTGGTACTTTTGTAAAAAATAAAAAAAATAAAAAATGTAGAAGGCCAAAAATATATAAAAAAAAAACCACATTGTTATGTCAAGTTCAAAAGACATCTAAGGATGGATAAAGTCATTTAAATTAATCAATCTGGAAACGTCTACAAAACTATATCTAAAATTGTTCATCTCTGAGACTTTTAGCTAAATATTCTGTTCATTTAGCTTTTTGGAAGGTGTAAAGCTAACCTGTAATGTCAGAAAAAGAACCACACAGACGGTGGTGATGGTAGTTTATGACCTTGGGCCGCTTCACTTCTCTAAAGCCTTTAAATGTTACCATGACTAATCACGTCAAGCATGTAGTATGAGGATCTGGGGAGGCTTTGTTACTTTAGGACCTGACTTTTCTAAACCGATGAAAAGTCCCTCCCAGAAAACCATTAAGTAGAACATCTAGCCACTAGTTTCTCAAGCACATTCAGGTTGTGCAGCAGGAGAATCATCCAAAACACATCAACAAGTTTGCTTATGAATGGTTACAAAAGGCAAAATCATGAACATTTTAAAGTGATCTAGTCAGTCTGGATTTAAACCCCTATTAGATGCTGTAGTGTGGGCTTTAACAGGCCGTTTATACTGGAAAACCCTCAGTGATGTAAAAGTCAGATATATGAACTCTTGGAGGCAGCTGATGAAGGGAGCAACTTCTACCAAGCACCTTGCTATGCTACAAAAGCAAAATATTACAAAGTATTTTTGTCTAGTTTAATAAAATGATCTTATTCCATTTAAAATAAGGATAATAATATATACATGGTATTTTTCCCTGCTGTAAGTGAATAAATCTGCCAGTGGAACTTGAACAGTGTTCAAGAATTACTGACTCAAAACAAGCTAGTACATCTTGCTGAAAAGTTACTTGTAAGTTAATTTGTGTCATTTTAAGTCTAAGGAGATATTTGCACTGGAAATTAGACACAAAAAAAAAACTTGGTGAGATTCTGTGTTTTTGCAATGTACAACACAGCAGAATAGATGGGATGGCTGTGGCCAGTCGGTGTGATAAACCAGGTGTTGTTTTTCCATCCAAAACCAAGCGGCTCGCGCGTGCTCGTGCACGGAGCCTGCACGAGCGTTTGCGTAATACCCTGTTCTCCTTCCGAAATCGGAACAACAGAAAGTGACAGCTCAAACGGTTCGGTGTCATTGCGCAGCTCGGTCACGTTCCGCTCACGTTGCTCCTGCAGGGTGTCTGGGAGTCAGCTGCTGCCCGGCCAAGGAGGAGGCAGACGCGGGAGGAGGGGACACGCCGCTCCGCTGTTATTGGCTACTGGACCCAAACACCAACCTATGATACCAACATGCTGATGCTGATCCACGTGACGTGACAGAGAAAGGATTATAGGTACAAGACTTGGGTGACCTTTGTCATATACAGTGAAAGTTACGTTGCAATGTACCTCCTAGCCCCGCGCGCGCCGTGTGCGTCATTCATACACTTCATGCTGCTCATTCATACAACACTAAGTGCGTTCAAATGTCCTATAAAACACAATAAACCAAGTCTAACCCGCTACTGGAGTCATTAGTGTATTTTGTGGATCTCCAACACAAAGTTTCAGCAGCAGAATCCCACGCAGACCCCGTCATCCAGCTGTCACCTGTCCCCGTGTTTGTTTACCTGAGGTTCTCCTGAGTGAAGGCCCGGTTCAGGTCCGTGTCCACGTATCTAACGCACTTCTCCACGGCCTTCGGGTTCGTGATGAAGGGCTTGATCTCCAGTCCCTTTCTTTGGATCTCAGCGCTGTTCTGCATCCACAGATTAACAAGTGTCACGCCGGACATTTCGTTCCCGTGAGTCCCTCCGAAGATCGCCACTCTCCTGGCCGCGTCAAACCGCGCCGTGTTGTTGTTGTTGTTGTTGCTGCTGCTGCCATTGGACATGACTGGAAGGTGGGAGCCGCTGCCGAGCGGTGCGTGGATGCTGCTGACACGCTGGTCTCTCTCTCTGTGGTTGGAAAGTTTCCAACCGGAGCCGCACAGACTCGCCGTTTTAAATCCTCTGTTGGGGCTGCGTGTTGACGTAACGAGCGTGCTCAGCCGGCGAGCTCTTCAGTCAGCTGTTACTGTGTGGAGACCAGTGGCGGTTGTGGCGTGAATGGCGCCCCGGGCCACACCCACTCATATTGCCTTCCCAAACACAACAAAATACTCATTTTCTAAGCTAAACACACAGAAAAAGCGAGATAAAAATTATTAGACAAACAGATAGATACAACTGAAACAGGGAAAGGATAATGGCACTATGCATAGCCGGATTTACCAGAATAAGGGCCTCTGGGCTGGTGAAGTTTTGGTGCCTAATCCTAACAAAATAAAAAAATAAAAATATGTTGCAAATTACAGAACATTAATAGTTAGGGCTGCACATTTGCAAGTACAAATCTTTTTGACTCAATGTTGGTCCCAATTAAAGAAAAGTATAATTTTTAAATTTCTTTGTGCTGTTGAAATTAATACAAATTCAACAGCAGCTCATTTCACATGTGGTGCTTTTACCACATTAACAGTATATTTTTTGTGTCCCCCCCCAAAAAAAAAAACTCAGGGACGTAGGTACTTTCTAAGTTTCTGATTAGTTCATTTACAACTTTTGTGTCGTTACCTTTCAAAATGCTGGTTGATGATCTTAGGAGAGAGTTACTATACACTGTGAAACAAATCTCGTATCAACATGGCCTGAAAATCCAATCGGACAGGAAGAAGCAAACACCAAAAAGAACATAAAAAGTGAGCTTATAACTTTTAAGTGCGAGCGACAAAGACCTTAAAAAATTGGAGATGTGTCTCGTGACCTGATGAAGTTAGAATTGAAGTGTTTGTCCATAATGAATTATGTTAGAAGGGAAAAAAAAGGGAGAAGCCTCCAAGCCTGGCATTTTTTTTCTTTTAATAGAATATATAGTTTTTATAAAAATTATTTACATTTTTGTATATTATGCCTCAATAAAAAAATAATTGAGAATTATTCTGGTGTAAAAGTGCTTTGATACAAAATTAAATATAGGAAAAAAAACCTAATTCAGAACCCAAAAGGTTTTAAATTTCAACATTGTCACCCTAAAATGGTTGACAGTTTACAATAAAATAAATAAAGCTTATGACATCATGATCTATCTGGAGAGCTGTTTAAGTCTGAGAGAAAGTCTTTATCTGGATTATAAAGTCTTCTTCTTGCATTATGCTTTCTTTTCCTCTCCACACAGTGAGAGGAAGACGTCGCGAGTTCTGCTGGAAACGTTTTAGATGACGCCGAGTTAAACCTAGAACCAGCACCAGGATTTGTTCTGTCCTCTTTGGTTTGATGGCTCTCTTCATCCGGGACTTCCCCTCTGCTTTTCCTCTTCTTCGTCTTCTTCACAACCACAGCTCCTTCGGGTTGAGATTGCTCAACACTCTCCAAAGTTTCCGTGAGCCTTTTAGTTCTCTTGTGTTTCTCTTTATTCTTGATCGGCGCTTCAGACGTTTCCTCCAGCTCCCTTTCCTCACTCTCAGGGGCAGCTGCTGACCTCTTCTTTTTCTTCTTGCCATCTTTTGATTCTTGCAAATGTTCAGAATCGTCTGCTGATTCGGCGGCTAACTCACCAGTGCTGACCTCAGGCTTTTCAGCACAGCCCTCATGAGCAGATGGAGACGGTTCCTCATCATCAGCAGAAAGGACAGAATGGGTCTTTTTCTTTTTGCGCACAAGCTGCGAATAGTCACCATATGCCAACATGTCCTCTGAGTTACTCACGCTGATATCATCCTTCATTTTCTTCTTCTTCTTCTTTTTGGTCTCCTGCTCAATATCTTGCTTCTCTTTTGGAGTTTTCTCTACGTTTTCATCTTCTTCCGCAAGTCCTACTTGGTCATTCACATGTTTTTTTTTCTTCTTTTTATAAACAAAGTCTGTATTTTCTGGCCAGGTCGTGGCATCGTTTGGCAGGTCCACATCTGTCTGATTGTCATTAGGCGACTGGCTCTTCTTCTTTTTGTGCTTTTTTCTTTTAAACCCATTGGATTCCAACGTTTCCTGAAAAACTTCACCATTACTTGAATGATCTATTGCCTCTGGGTGTTCAGTTGTTGTTTCATCCAAATCTGAAGAGTCTTTTTTCTTTTTCTTCCTTTTCTTTGGGACATGTACGTCATTCGTCACAGACTCGGCAGCTTTGTTGGTCTTTAAAGAGTCTGTAACAATATTTCCATTTTCACACACCACAACAAAATCCTCCTCCTTCTGCTGATCTGATTGTTTATCCGCCTCCTGTCGGATATATTGGTTTTCACGTTTCTTTTTCTTCTTCTTTTTCTTCTTTTCCATGCAAGGAGCTTCCACTTCCTCAGTGATAATCAGGTTTGCAGAGGGATCAGGCTGATGACCCCAGGCTCCCTCTAGACTCTGATCTTTTCCTTCCTCTACACATTTGTCATCTTCTCTGTCCTGTTTTTTCTTCTTCCTCTTCTTTACCTTGATTATTCTACACTCTATATCATTATCTTGAACACTGGTTTGTTCGTCCGCCCCAGTATGAGGGTCTGTTGCTTGTCTGTCGCTCTGCTCTGCACTCACCCCACCGCATGTGGCATCGCTTTCGTTACCAAGCATCTGTTCATTGTCTTCAGGAATAAGACCACTTGCTCTACTTTCTTTTCCTGGAGATCTGCTGTTCTTTCCCGTTTCAGTTTCAGCAGGGAGGCTTCCAGACGTTGACAATCGATCATCAACCGACTCTGTCTCTTCCGAGATTTCATTGGACTCCTTTGTTTTTGAAGACGACGCCCTCCTCGACGAGGGTATCCATGTCGATATTTTGAGCGTCATCCTTCCCGGTCTTCCCTGTGGCTCACGTGCAGCATTGTAGCGTTCTTCATTCTGTTGCGTTTCTTCACTGGATCCCTTTTTAGGATTGTACCAAGGTTGGGAGTTCTTTGTTTTCGACACCACAAAGAGCTTCTTTTCCTGTGAGTTGACAAAAATGGTATATTTTCCTCAGGAAGAACTTTAACAAGCTGTTTTTTTCTCTTCCTTAGAAGTTAGCAACGCACTCACAACCAATCTGATGTCTTCATTTTCTGTAGTTTCGTCTTCCTCTCTAAAACAGAAGAGTGGGACAACATTATGCTTTTTTGCCACTGCTCTACAGCCAGAATGAACGTATAGGACTATTGCACAACTGCTTCAAAATCAAGAAACATTATTTAATTCCTAGCATGACTTTCTGACATGCAAGGGTGATAACATTGAGCTGGTGATCAACATTCAAGAGAAATTTATGGTTTGGGTAAAACTTCTACAAAAACTATTTTCTTTCTTGGTTGACGTACATCCAAATCTGCTCTTTCTATACAGGTTGTCAGAACATAACAAAAGAGTATTTCACCAACATTTGAATAATAAAAAAAAAATCCTCAAAACACTGGATGATCTTTGACTTTTTAAAAATATTTTAATTTTTTTTTTTGACATTTAAGACCTTAACAGGATTTAACTTGACCAGAACCGCACCTGATCTGATCAGCAACATTTCATGGGTTAAATGTCTTTATATGCAAGCCCTTTTTAATGATTTTAAGGAACTTTGCAAAAACAAGTCTTATGGGACTAACCTCATTCATCTGCCTTTGATTTATTATTCAACGCTATGTCTAAAACTCGTCACTCATATAGAAGGTAACGTGTTTTCTATCCATCTTCAACAAAATTTTGTTTGAGAGTTTTAAGTGTATACATGCGTTTTAAATACGCTAGTCTGGTTAAACAAACTTACTCTGACATCGGAGATATGGGCTCTCCGTCCTCGTCCGCAGTTGGTAGAGACTCCAGCAGATCTTCTCCTGTTTGATAGCTGTCCCAAAGCCGCTCCGCACATCTGAAGTAACCTCCCATGGCGTAATACTGCAATCAAAATGCATGTGCACCTTTTTTTTTAAGTCTTCAACATAAGGAAAAGGGCATTTACGTTTTCTTTCTGTGGCCATACATGAAGTTTTCTGTTCTGATAATATGGCAACCTAGTCATCATTCTCTCTTTGAGGAAGTCAAAGGTGAACTTCGGTGTTGTGCAGCTTTTCTTCTTCTGCTGCTTTCTGTCTTCTGGATGTTCCTCCTCAGAGGTGGATGCGTCATATTCATGTTCTGGTGAATCTCTGAAGTTTGATCTCTTGCTTGAGCGCCTCCGTCGTTGAGGTGCACATTTCTGAGTGATGAACAAGCTGTCCCCTGAATCACTATAAACACACATACACTTTCAATATGGTACATCAGACTCACTCCGCCTATTGGAGCAGAATCATTTTAGTTTTTACCTGTTTGTATCCTGTCCATTGTGCTGCTTCAGAGAGGACATCAGATGCCTTGATATTTCCTCCCCATCATCAGGAGGGGAGTTTACCAACATTATGTCACCTGGCTGAGCTACCACATCAGCTTCTGTGAAGTTATCTGGAAGAACACAAGAGGAAGAAGGAACTGCTTCTGACATCGTGCTATCTTAGTGAGGAATCACGAAAATCACAGATGCAGACGGAAAAAACACCGCCAACGAATCATTTGGTTTGTCCGATAAAGACAAACAGCGGCACCAAAACAGGGGTGAGTGGAAGACGCGTGTACGGATAAAACCGGGAAGTGTTTAAACATTAACATCGTGACGAACTTAGAAGAGCAAGCGTCACATGAGCATCCGGGTCGCGCGTTAACTTCACCGCCATATTGTGAGTGGCAGTTTTGTCGCCTCACACTAGAAAGCTGAAAAACGACAGGAAGCGAGAAGATATCGGCAAAGCAGAAGGGGGTAAAGTACCAAAAGAAAAAAAAAATGTAGGAAAGAGCACTGCTTTGACATATTTTTACCCCAGCCAAAGTAAAAAGTCCAATAAATTGCTCAAGTAAGAGTAAAAATGCGTTTGGTAAAATAAATAAAATAAAAAAAAATCTGTAGGCGTGTGCCTGTATCTGCATTAAATAAAAATATTTCTGCTCTTCATTCACTGGAGTTAGTCACATCCAGAAATATTACTCAACTACCGCTGTATCTTGGTCATCTTTCACCTCTTTACATGGGTACATTAAAAAAATGAAAATATATTATTATTATTATTGTCGGTGTTTAGATTATTTCTCATCCAAAAAAATACATTTAAGGGTTCACATTCACAATTTCTTTTTGAGACAAATCAACTTTAGTGCATTCAAGTGACATTGTGGAAAGTACTTTACTAATCCAAGAAGTCTGTTGTAGAGATTTCTACGATCATTATTTCGTCAGTTTGCTACATGTGAATATTGTTTATTTCTTTCTCGGTGAATGCTGTTGTTAGAACTAAAACTAACATAGCTGCATATGTAAAGGACGCGCCGAAATGAGCTAAAACGTGAATTTTTATGTTCGTTTTATTCCAGACAAATATTGTTTTGCTTCCCAAGGCGAACTTGCCTCTCAGAATATGGCGAACCCGCTCCTGTGACCAATCACCAAAGACCACACAGCAATAGAACCAAGATAGTTCAGTCCACTTCCGTTTGAAGCTAAAAGCGAGCGGAAAAGCTTACTCTAAGCTAATGGCTTTTTAATTCACCAATTAACTTTCTTAAATAATTTCCATAATTCATATATGCTACTAAAAATGTTGTATATCTGATAACAAAAATTCCACTAGTATTTGTTTTAAATTAAACCGAAAAAAATCTTAGTTACCCCAGTTGTAAACCGGAAATGAGGAGGAACCTTCTCGCCAGTGTTTCCTCTTTGGTTGGACTTTAACCCTAACTGGTCCTGCTTGTCTCTGCAGAGCTAGCAGCCACAAAGCAGATTCAGTCACTGTGGAAGAAGTTGTTATGGCAGACATCAGCAAAACAGAGAAAGTTCAGCTGCACGCCCCGGCTCTCGAAGAGCTGCGAGGAGGTAGGGACTTACTAGAGAAAGAGAGTCAAAGTTCCCCATGCATGTTTATAAAGTTGGATTTTCAGTTTGACAGCTCTGCGTGCTGGTTACAGTGTTGCAGGCTGGGCTGGAAGTCAATTTTGCAGAAGTTCAAGTGAGTGTTGTGGAATGTCCAGATCTCACCAAGGAGCCTTTCCTTTTTCCTGTCAAAGGTATTTCATAGATCAAAATTCAAGTGGACGCTTGAATAATGCTCTCCTGTAGTATTTGTCACATTTCTTTGCCTTTTCTCTTCATGTCCTGAAGGTCTGTGTGGTAAACCTCGCATTACTGATGTTGGAGGTGTACCATATCTGATCCCTTTGCCTCAAACACATAAGGTTGAGATCTTTTTAATGCATATGTTGCAGATTTTGCATGCTGTCAATTTTAGTAAAGACTTTTTTTTTTTTTTTTTTTCCTGTTTGTCCTTATATTAGGAATACAATATGAACGTAATATCCAAGGAGCTGGAGCTACCGGGGGCTTTTATCCTTGGAGCAGGAGCCGCCCCTTCCAGAATTACCGGGATGAACGCTGAGGTGAATTATTATATGCAAGAAATTGACTTTTTTTTTTAACTCAATTTTTAATAAAACTGAACGCTGTGGCCTACAGCTCATGCCTCTTGTTCTCACTGAGACTGAAGGAAGACCAGCAGTCAACGGGAGCTACTTTTCCTCCATCAATCCAGTTGATGGTCAGTGTCTGCAAGAAAAGTACAGTGACAAATTCTCTGACTGCAACTTTGGACTCCTGGCGAATCTGTATGCCTGCGAGGGGAAGCCTGGAAAGGTATCAGTGTCAAAGTGGATTTCAGTCTAGCAGGAAATGAGTCAAAGCAGACATTTTAAAATCAATGCAAGATAATGAATATATTGGGCGGTGAGGGGGGCGAAAAATTAACCCAACTCGTTTATTAACTGTATGCACTTTAGCCCCATCACAAGTGTGCTCTGAAACATTAACTGAAGGTCAGGGAGCTGATGAAGCAGATCGCTCCTCTCTGCCTGTGTGCGTCTCTCCAGGTCATAGAGGTGCGAGCCAAAAGGAGGACAGGAAGCAACAGTCTGGTAACAGCACTGAGGAAGACTCTGGAAGCTCAGTATCCAGACAAGAGCCTGGCTCTGGGAGGCACCTTCATCATCCAGAAGGGGAAGGCTAAAATCCACATTATGGTAAATGCTGGATTAGGCTGAGATTCTGATAACGTTGAGTAAAAAAAAAGTATAATTTGATCTAATTGTCTTTTGATTTAAAGCTGATTGCCAAAATGTTCGTAGCAACACCAAGCTTAAGAGTTGGTCCAGACGGGTCTGGGAAATTGTTTTTGTTGGTATTGGTTCCTTTACCTGTTGTGCTAAAAAAAATCAGAACTATTCTATTCTTTTTATGTGTTCTTCTCTCAGCCAGCTGACCTGCGGTGCGCAGCAACAATGGGATCATCTTTAAATCCTTAAAATCATACTTACAAAAACTAAGTATTTTTTTTAGTCTAGTAGCCTTTTATAGCCATCAAGTTAAGCATTAATTCAGTAAAAAAAAAAAAAGTAATTATTTATATCCCTATTTCACGTTCAAAAATCTGAAAAATAATACAAATAAAAAAAACGAAATTAGAAAAAAAAATTACATTTATACCTAAAACTTGTTTTTGCGCTCTTCCAACAGACAGTGGTGCATTAAATTGTTTTTTTGTGTGTATTTGTGGACATTTTGTTGTCCTCATTAAAAGATCTAAAACAGTAGGAACGACATAATGACAAATGTTAGCTGTTTTTAAATTTGGCTTTAGAACCTGGGCATACAATTAAACTGGAAGCTAACCTATTTGTATACATGATGTGACGCAAAACACAGAACTTTACTATGACGGCTTATTGTGGCTATTTAAGATAGAAAAGAAAAGGCGTACATAAAGAAAAAAACTCAAAAAGTTTGAGATTAATCTCAGAATTTCTGCCTGCAACCCCCCTAGTACGCCGTCGTATTTTGGCTACTGGGAGACACTCGCACTCATTTATTTCTGTGCTCTGGATCATCGATAGCCGAGGGAGTTCTCAGCCTGCCCTCTCAACACCGACGACGAAGTCAACAACTGGCTGAAGCACTTTGAGGCCAGCGCTCCGCTCATCTGCCAGTCTGTGCTCGTATCCAGAGACCCTGTGAGTAAAGCAAAGCAGCCTCAGTAACGATGCTGAGGAACAGATCGTGGCGTTTGCGGGTCACTTTCTTTTGTCCTGCGTTTCCAGGGCTTGGATTTGCGTGTGGAGCACACCCACGGCTTCAGCCGCCACGGAGAAGGTGGCCACTACTACATCGACACCACGCCCGACACCGTGGAGTACCTGGGCTACTTCCTCCCCGCAGAGTTCGTCTATCGCATCGACAGACCCAAAGACACACACACCGTCGGTCGAGATTGAAAAAAAGAGCTTAACAAACAGTGATGACAATGGAGGTTTGGTTGTATAAGCACATCATACTGATAGTACAGAGTTTATATGTCAGTCCTAATCATTTCTGTTTTTAAATCAAGTCTGCTGTTGACGAGCAATTGTCAAAGGAAGTTATTAGTACTGTACTGACATTGTCTCTGTGAAAAATGTGGTTGAGGACCTTGAGGCTCCAATCGTAATATGATTTAAAATGTATGAATGATGTCTTTGATCATGGGATGGAAGCATTCAAATTTTAAAATACTGTCTAAATGAATAATGCAGTGAATTCTAGACGGTGTATCATTCTGAAAGGAGGTGATCTCTGTTTGTATTTTATCATTGCTCAGCTACATTTTCAGTATGTAATGACATAATAAACTCGCATCCCTCTTACGCCTAAGTCTCTGACTTCTTGTCACCCGTCTGACAGAAAAACTTTTCATTTGCCAGTTTGTCGTCTCTCCTGCTCGCCTAAACTGTTAAAGGAACACATTCTAAGCTGTCTGCAGATCTGCAATTGACTGCAGCTGGGATTTTAAAGAAATCCCCAACTTTATGAATTGACCACAGGGAGCAAGACCTTGTTGTCATCATGATTCCCTACAAAGAATATTGTAATTTGCCTATTGAGAAATTGAAAAGTAGTTCCTCGATTTATGCAAACGGTGCCTCATTAAATGTGACTCAGACGTGCAGAAAATATTTCCTGTTATTTTTAATCTCACGGCGTGTAGTTTTACATGATTGCAGAAAGAAACACCATTCAGTCTAAGCTGTAGGGATCCATTCAGAACGGCAGTATTTGATCTAGATGAGCCGTTCCCTTGTAGTTTTCACATTCTGAGTTAGGAAATCAATCCCTCTGCAAATTCAAACTGCTCCGTTTTAGCCTTTTTGTAAATCTTATATTTGTGATTTCCATTTTTATTTTATTTACTTGTACGTTAACATCTTTTACATGTGGAAGTGAGCATCATTGTAAATGATTGTTTATACCATATACACATTAGAATGACCTAATCAAAGCCAAGACCTAACTGTAAATCCACAAGAAAAAAAAAAACTTGTAAAGCTGTAAAGCTAGTGGAGCTAAAATATGTATTGTGTTGAAAAAAAAAATCTAAATATATATTGTGTATTTACATTTGAAACTTCTAACGTTAATACACTGCGGACAAACAGCACCATCTTCCGACCAGAGCGGGCAAGTACTTCATTTCCCACAATGCTGCTCCCAGAACCAGCCCGGAAGTTGGTCGTTTATTGACAATATGGCCACCGAGCTCGGCTTGGATTTGAGGATAATTTTGATTTGACAGCACAGACCGGAGGAGATTCCGAAATAAAACCGACTTCCGCATCAGGAGTGTACGGAGCCGATGCGTTTGAATGAAGGGATTCGTGGGACGTCCCTGGGACGGTGATAGTGAGCAGAGGAAGCGTCCAGAGTGCGAAACCCGTCATGTCGTTTTTTAAGAGGAAAGGTGAGGAAGAAGCTCAAACTGCTGATCTGCAGCGTTAGCCGCGGCTATCGGGGAAGAGTCCCGCCGAGGACGGAGAAGCCCACGGCAACATGACCGAGCGGGGATTAAAAACAGCGGGGTTTAAAACGGACAGGGACGCCGGGGTGGTGGTGGTGGTGTTGTTGGTGTTCTCCTGCCGCCGCTGCCTGCTGCAGTGGCGCGGTTAGCTTAGCGGTGGCCTCTGTAAGCTAACCAAACCTGTTGTTGGTCTGGTTGGCAATAAAACTGCCTCGTGCTGTCAGCTCGAAACTACTCGCGAGCTGCATCGTCTGTGTGGAGCCTCCTTCTGCACTACTTCCAGCTCGCATAGCTGTCGTTATCTGCACTGTAGGCAGCTGTGGAAATGTATGTAGCGTGCTAACTTTAGTTTCATTCAGTCTCATTGAGCTGAGTGCGCACAGACTTGTAACTTGTCATAAAGTAATAAGGTGTGACGCACTCATTAGAGCACTTTGTAGTAAATAATCTTTTGTTTATAACGAGAGGAGCCTGACATGTCTCCTATGCAATACACTCTTGAACAACACCGGGGTTTAGAAATGGCTGACCACTTTTCAAATGCAATCTGTCTGACGTTTGTAATTGCATAATATCAAATATTTCTATGATACAGGTAAACATCTCCCAGATTACTTTCAGCAACTGAATGTATTACAGAGTATCTCTGTTAGCTCACTGTAGTTTCGGCTTGTTCTTGCTAACTAACTGTGCAGTCTTTCTTAGCACTCCATCAAATTGCAGTGATTCCGTGTTTCTTTAGAAAACCAGCCCAGTTAGTAATTTTTTTTATATCCTAACGAGTGAGATGAGTGGCTTTTTTCCCTCTTTATTGGTTGCATCAGAGTTGCTGACGTTGCTTGTTTGCAAAAAAAAAAAAGGAGGAAGTGTTGAAAAGACAGTGGATGCTCTGAGCAGCGATGGTAATCAGGACTGACAGGAAGCCAGTGGCTCTGCATATGGGAAGTTCAAGTGGGCATACAAGTTTAAAAAAAAAAAAAATTATGATAGTCATTTCAAACATTTTACATCAGGGGTGTTTAAGTCCAATCCCCAAGGGCTGGTCTGTGGGATGTTGTCGATGTTCCAATATTGCTTATAGATCCTGATTCAACTACTGTCAGGATTTATTGTAGATCCTGATTGTATGAGGAAACTCATGTCCTGTTCCAGCTGATAATGGGAAGCGATTGCTGAAGCGCTAGACCAAGGGGCCTGCAGCTCCAGTCCTCGAGTGCAACTGTTCTGCAACTACTGGATGCATCTCTGCTCCAACATACCCGAAACAAAAGGTTGAAATGCCTCCTTTTCATGAAGGCAAGTTTTGCAAAGGTGTGGTCATTAACCATTCATTCATTTGCAGAACGGTGGCACTCGAGGAATGTCAGACTCATTTTATAGGCTATAGTGGGGTGAACCGATTGTCGGGCTCACATTTTATTAATTTTGGGTGATCGGCCGATACCTACACGTGAAACCGATCTTATCCATCGATCCTATCTGCCTCTGCAAAGGTCTGAAAATCGGCCACTGACCCCATTGCTCAGCTCATAGAATGAATTGATAAGTAGGCCTGTCACGATAACAAATTTTGCTGGACGCTAAATTATCTACAGAAGTTATTGCGATAAACGATAATATTGTTTGAGACCGTTTTTCAGTAATATGATGGTAATGGCATAATAATAACGCAAGAACACATTCTCTATGATCGGTAAGCTTTAAATTCTAATGAACATTTAACAAATGATTGAGTTTGTTTAAATTTATCATGTGATGAATTGATTTATTGCTTATTGTGACAGGCCTGTAATAGTAAGACGATATATCTCCCTGTTGTTCAGTTATTCATGTGTGGACAAAGCTTAAGGAAATTGGTGTTCTACTTCAAAAATGTTACTCCTTAACGTCGTAAAAATGAATGACTAGGGATCCGGCTGCCTTCTTTTCACTCGTCCCCCATGCACACAGACACCAGGTCCTTTCACATTTTACATTCAGAAGTTTTCAGCAGCCAATGCAGTCTCTCTCTCTTTCTCTTTTAGTGTCAATACACAGAAACCCAGTTTTTTTTTTTTAGATCCACACAAAATAACCTGGATGGAGGGTTAAAGAAGCTGTGAGCAAGGGAATAGGCCTGGATTGTTTGAAAAATGACATGCAGATTTAATTAAGAGTCACTATTAACGAGGGGGCGGGAGACATAAAAGCATGGAGAGGAATTGATGTTTAGTTTAGTCAGGGATTCTCACGCTGATCCTCCAAAAACACCTGGTTCTATACAAGTAGTTTTGACCACAGTTTGCTTGGTTTGATGAATATTTTTAGTTCATTAGAGCTGAAAGGCCTTGAGGGGTAAATGCTGCCTAAGTTCCCATGTCGTACATTTTTTGTGCAGCATCCAGTATATCAGATTCCTGACCATGCCATCAAGTAACTAGATATTGTTTTCCCGTCGCTGCAGCGGCGTCTCCCTTCGCCGCGCATCTCCATTCTGTCCAGCTGCTCTCGCCTTGTATCATGATCCCGAGTGTTTACGCCTTCAGTTACACGTCGCCTTTTTTCTCCTTTTCTCCACAGCCAAAAGCAAGGAACCCGAGAGAGTAACGGATGCTAAAGTTAACAAAGGTGAGTTCGTCTTTACCTCCGGCGTTGTAAAACATCACAGAAGAGGGTTTAAATTGGAAACTGTGTCGTGAGAAGCTTGCGGAGGTGAATCGTATTAGTCGTTTTAGCCCCATCTTCAGAAGAATAATAGGTCAGTTTGCATTCAAAGATATTCATGTTAGAATGGTTCAGAAGTGAGAAAATTTTGTATCCACTTTAGCTCTGTGCTACTCTGTTGGCCCGCCATGTGAAATCTGCAGAAGTTACATTGAAGCTTGTGTTTGTGAGATAAACACAAGCTTTGAAAGAGCACAAGGGGAATGAATGCTTTCACAAAACAACAGTTGTTTGTTTGCTTTAGATGGGGTTTTATAAAGTGAGTCTGAGTTTTTATCTAAGCATGGAAGACAACCTTGGATTTAAGAGAAGTCTTTAGGTTTTTGTAGGGTTTAGGTTTGCTTTAGTTATTCTAAACAGAGTTAATGTATCATTAGGATCCAAGTAACAAGCTCTTGCTATCAGTGAAACACAAAGCAGTCAGTCAAACACTGCACAGTTTGTCCTCTCAGGCTTCTTTTTATGGCCTGCGGACACTAAGAGCTCTTTCAAAAACACCCACAATCAGAGGCTTTGTCATCCACGTCACACTGACGTCACTTTGAAAACATGACTGTAATTTTTCAGCTTTATTTCATTTTTTTTTTGTTTGTTTTTTTTTGACCCAGTTCCAGTCAGCCCCCACTCTCCATCACATGGACTGAAGAACCACAATGCCGTCCTGGACGCCGCCGGGCCGAGCCACATGGCCATCAGCGCCATATCAGCCAACATGGACTCCTTCGCTCGGGGCCGCACCGCCATCCTCAAGAAGCAGCCGAGCCACATGGAGGCGGCGCACTTCGGAGACCTCGGTACGCAGCAAGCCGTTCTGTGTTTCCGCTACGCTTGAGATGACAGCAGATGGATGAACACGGAGAGGGAGAGACGTGTGGCAGGGAAAGAAAACCAAAAAGAAAAGGAGAAAAATGTTTCAATGTGATTTAGCAGAATGATGAAATGGCAAAGTTTCAATTTTATTGAAGTATGTTTAGCGAGTATGGGAACGGGGAGGAAATGCATTATGGGAAAATATATATCTCTGGCCTGTGATTTTAAACTTCCTTCCTTCCTTCCTTCCTTCCTTCCTTCCTTCCTTCCTTCCTTCCTTCCTTCCTTCCTTCCTT